CCTGACTGATTAGCTTGGCTGGTTGACAGCGGGAAGTAACAGCACAGATGCGAGAAGCTGGCACTCTGGTGCGTGCCAGCTTGGACACAAAATTTTCCACGAGGGTCCACACTGGCTGTGTCTGACAGCTCCAGATCGCGTCTCATCTTTTTAGTAGTCAGAGGGGCTCTGAGAGCCTGTCTACACTGCACTTCAGCTGCATTTCTGGGCTGGACCCATGCCCGGGGGTGCAGGGGGGCACGGCCCGGTGGGGACACCGCAGAGATGGCATTCGCCATCCTCCTCCTTTCACAGCCATTTACACCTGTGCAAAGTGGGTAGGAACAGCCACACAGGCCACCACGAAGTCAGTTCAGGGAAACCAGATCCAGGCTCCTTCCACCGCCCACATCTGGGCGCATGCAGTAGCGGCCTTAGGGGAGGGCAACCCAGGTGACAGCCCAGGGCCCCACACTTTGGGGGGCCCCAAAGTTTTGCAACAAATTTTGGGCGGGTGACATTTTTGCAAGGAAGTGCATTTTAACCCTCGACTATTTATCTAGTTCCCCCAAAGAATATTTAAAAGATCCACGATACATAGGTCATCAAAATTAAGCCTCTACAGGGCCCCAAATGACTCTCTTGCCCCGGGCCCCAACAACCCTAAGGCCACCCACTGGTGCATGCAGTGGCACTAAGATCAGACTGGTTTTTAGACCAGTCTAGAAAATATCTTTGATGAAAAAGAGCTCTTGGGAATCAATCCAATCTCCCTCAAAGTGGCTTTAGAAATGATGACGCCAACTTAGAAACCACTGATGGGAAGCACAATATGGAGCGAGGGACTCATAGGAGATGTGTCCCTTTCCCCGCGGCTCTTCTTGGGGTGCTTGTACACGTGACCATCAGCCTGGCTCCTGGGGACGCAACCCAGAGCCCCCTGCTCACGGCCGTCCCCTTCCCTACGTGCAAGGAGCTCCTCGCTGGAGAAAACAAGCCTGCTCGAGCTCTCCCTTCTCACATCCTTCTCCAGAGCAGCTAATCTCTCCCAGGCCCAGCGCCGGCTGCCTGGCGAGCTGCAGCCTCCCTGGAGCTAAAAGCCCTGCAGACAGTGATGTTATTAAGTGCAACCCAAGGTCCTTGCAGATGAGTCAGACACAGGTATAAACTGCTACCTCCTGCCCAGGCTCACACAGCTCCATCCAGGGATGGACGCCACGGGCTGACACTAATAGGCTTTGGAGAGTAAAATTCATCTTCTCTACAGATATTTATAGGGAGCATGAGCAATGGGATCCGGTACAGACCTCAGGCATTTCAAAGCCTTTGTTTCTATACAAACAGTTTCTCCGAGCAGGTTTTGTCAGCACGTAATGGTTTCCCCATCAACTCCCCCCCATTTTTTTTTTTTTAAATATGTAAATTCAAACTCTTTGAAGTTTGCCTGGCTCTAGTTTAAAGAGAAACTGGAACTTTCCAAACAGAGGGGAAGCGCTTTAGAAATCCCGCTCCCCACCCCAGAGAGGTCCCGACTGAACCAGGTCTGGCCCGTCTGCGCCGCTGGGGGTGGGCGTGTGCGAAATGACAAGCGTGTGCAAAGCCACCCACTGAGCGGGACTGCAAGGCTGGGGGGTCCCATGGAAACGTAAATGGAAAATGGGCTGGTGCCTTTCTGTAACACCAGCATCGACTGAGGGAGTCTTGTGTTTTCTTAAATTCTACGTGGGTTTCTTTTTAGCAGCAATAGTGCAGATTTCCTTGAAGAGCCAAAGAAATGGGGGGAGACTGCATCGCGGTGAGCAAAAAACTTGCAAGAGCTGGCAACGGAAAAGAAACCAAACCAAGCAAAATTAGGGAATGAGAAATGGACAGCCTTCCTTGAAATTAGGCACAGATTTCTACTGTGAATATGTGAGTGAGATGAGAGCGTGAAGAAAGGGTACATTTCATATTCTTTCCCTCTCTGTCCTTTCCATTTGTTTAAAACAGAGCCTGATGCCTCACAAATATTAACAAACTTCCTCCCTTACCACTGTTATGATCCTGCTCTCACAGATGGGGAAACTGAGGTGCAGATGCACGAGGCTACAGAGGAAGCCCGTGGCAGAGACAGACCTTCAACCCACATAACCCAGGCCCCTCACCACCCTTCTGGAGTGCTGCCAAGCAAAATTAGAAGCCTCTGCTAAGACAATTAGCGGCACTTAACCTTCTCCCCCTCCCTTATAACTCAGATCCAGAGCAGCTGCGGGCCAGGCAGCGTTTCTCAAGAAATATTCTGCTTGGAGTTTGCTTTCCCTGGGCTTTGCTGCTCCACTTTTTTTTTTTCTTTTAAGCAATGAGCCAGATCTTAAACAGGTGCAAATCAACGCAGCCCCTTGGAAGTCAATGGGCTAGATCCTCAGCTGGCCTAAATCAGCATAATTGCATTGGAGTCCGTGTCACTTTGCTGACTGAAGTCAGAGGAGCTCAGCTAATAGCCTGACCATGGGGAAATGAAACCCAGTGACATTCCTCATCCTTTCCCCACCACTCAGTGAACAGGCTTTAGCTCAGGCAGGATTTCACTGCACAAAGCCATGTTTCTGGCCCAGACCTTTGGCTGGTGGGTCCTGGGTCAGAAAGACAACTTCACACCAGCAAGCTGAAATTCTTATGTCCATTCATAGGCAAACATTTCCCACCCCTGGGCTTCCTGGTGGGAACAGGATCGACTGGCCACGGCCAACATAACACCCCCCCGTTAGTGGGGGGCACGGTGCTAGTCGCATGCGCACACCCTGCAGCAGGCTGTCGCCTAATGCTAACTGCTAAAGAAGAGGTTGTTTAAGGAGGAGCTGATCCCCCCATCCCAAGCTTTTCATTCCTGCTTTGCCCAACTTAGACCTGAGACACAATCTCCCCCTACTCCTAAATCCTTGCTTTTTCTCCTATTATGAGGTTACCTAATCCCTCGCCCCCCATCCCTTGGTCTGCATTACTTAGCTGTGAGTTGTGCAGCTGTCTGACATCCCTGCCTGGGTCTCGGTGTAAGATCTGAGGGTTTCTGACCCGGGTCCATCAGGATTTAAAGCCCTACCTTACTCCTTGGTGTTCAAGCACCGTGCCAACAGCCAACAAAGATTGGCCCCATAATTGCTTGGAAAGCGGAGGAAGAACTCGCTCAGACCTGGAACGTGGCCAGGGCATGCGCTTTGTGGCTCTTCCTGAGTTTGTCGTGATGATCAAGAGTGTTTCATCACAAAAGGAGCTGACTACAGCGACAGGTGAGGCATGCCTGGCTCCCACTGCCACGTCTACGGTCAGGGTGATAGTGATGTTCAGCCCTAACAGCGTAGTACGGCGGCATGGTCTAGCCATGCACTAAGGGACATGGGTGTTGGAGATGTGGACACCCACCTGCTTTCCCTTCTGCGCGTCGTGCGCTTGATAACCTGGTTCTGGGTGGGATGGTGTCTCTAATGGGCTTCTTGGTCTTCAGTTTGAACTCAGGTCGACTCAGTCATGACTGACAACTTGGTACTATCTGAGAGCTGTTTGTCGGCAGCTGTGCAGTGAGTTTTTCCCCCTCTGCTGATACCTACAGCCTGCACAACAGGCAGCCTTGAGGACCCAGTCATTAAATAGGGAGCTAGTCCCTGAGTTGTCCTCACACACCAAGGGTAGGAGCAGAAGGAGTTGGCATCACCGTGGGCCAGGGGAATTTCCTGGTCCAACAGGCCTGGTGATCGTCCTCACTGTACTTCTCCCCATCCTGGTTCCTTTAGCCTAGCAAAACCCGAGACCTCCTTATTGGTGTCCCTCTGGTCCTGGCTAAGATGCTTCCCCTGTGGTCCTTTAGCACTGGGGAGATGCCTAAAACAAAGTCTTCATCGCTAATTATTACTAGCCCAAGGTGCTTCATCCAAGCCTGCGGGTTAAATTCTACTGGGGTCACTCCCCATCAATCCTCCTGCTGCTTCAGCTGGACATAACCCTCTTCTCCATTTCCCTCCGGACCGGCTGCATGATGGTAATAGGCTCTTGTGGACAAAGGTGTGCTGGTCCCCAGTGGTGGCTGCATTTCGTTGCTAAATTAAATGATTGCTACAAATCCCTTGCAAAACATCCTCTATAATGAATACAGCAGAGGGGCTGGCCAGGTCTGTGGGACCAGACTCCCCGGTCGATCCACTCTAACCACTGTCGCTCAGCTTGCTGCCGGCTTTTTCACTGCATGTAACCCCCCTGGGGAGTGACAGAGAGAGAGATTCAGGGCCCAATTCTGATCGACCATAAGGTGGGGTCAGCCTTGCTGCTTCATGGACGTATACCGATGCAAATAACAGGATTTGTGGCCCTGTCACTTGCTTCTACCAGACGTCCCAGCTGGCACCTAATGCCCCTTCTGGGGATAGGAGTGATGCCATCCGCCCGCGTGACTGTCCCCAGGGCCTGGCAAGCTGTCATTTCACCGGGGTTAGCAGCCGGGTGCCTGGCTGGGAGCATGCAGCAAGGCAGGAGTTGCCTTAGCAGGGTCTGCAGCCTCCCCTGGAGTGAGATGCCGGAGGGCTGGAGTTTGGGAGGTGAGACGGGTCTGCCAAGTCCAACCGATGTCCCACCTCTGGGAGCGGCCAGCTCCGGGAGGAGATGCCGGGAGGCAACATCGCCTGCCCCTCAGGGAAGTTTCTTCCCAACCCGTTAATGAGCAGCTGGAGCAAGGGGGCTCGTGTCCCCTGTGCCGGACTCAAACCCCAGCGGCTGTCCCCGAGGGCAGAGCGGCTCTTTGCAAAACCTCCCTGCCCTCTTTGCCCAGCATCGGGCGAGCCACTCCCAGGGGATAAGGCCACGCGATACCTGCCTTCCCCTGACAGCCGGAGTCTCTGTAATCCTCCCTTTCCACCCTCCAGCCTTCCCCCTGCCCCATGGGGGCTGGCTAGAATCACACAGGAGGGGCAGCCCCGCATCTGGGGGGCAGATCACCAGCTGGGCACATTTACTGCCCACCTCATTAATGCCCTCCCACGCTGCACAGTGCTCACCTTTGGACATGCAGGACCCCATCACGGGGGGTTTCTTCTCTTCTTCCTGGAGGGATGGGGTCTCATCTCTTCTCCCTGGGGCTCATCTGTTCCCACGCCAGCTCTGCAGCCTGCCTGAAGTGCTGAGGAAGGAATCCAATCTCCCCCCCACCCCAGCTCTCCCTCCTAATTTTTGTCCTCTGCCCTCACGCACGTCCCCCTCCCTCTCCCCGCTACCCGCTCGCTCCCCAAAGTTTGCAGGCAACCGTGGTATTTCCCCCGGCGAGCAGCGCAGAGCGAGGAGGCAGATGGCACGGGGGGTACCGCGCGGAGAAGAGCCAGACACGCGCACGGAGGGGAAGGGAAATTGTAATAAAGGCAGGTCTCTGCCAGTCAGGGCTCCTCGGGGATTCGCATGGCTGTAGCCACCTCCCCTCTCGCTCACTGCTCTCTCGCACGGCTCACGGGATGCACAACAGGCCTTTTGTCTTCCCCGGCGCAGGGCTGGGAGGGGAGGCCACTTGTTGCGCGGGAAGAGAAAGTGGCAGGCCCAACCTGCTTCTTGCTGATGCTGGTCCCGGCAGGGGCTGCCGCCGTGTTGCCCTGGTTTTAAGTGGGAGGAGGCCCACATGCTGCCTCCCACCCCAGAGCCAGCTGCCATCCCAGCCCCGCGGGGAAAGCAACACTGAGGACTGCACCCCCTAACTCGCACCCTGTGCTAAGATGGAAGCAATGGGAATCGGGGCAAAAAAATCGCTTCTCTTTTCCATGGGCTGTTGTGAGCGGTATGGATGTGGAAGTCGGGGGTCCTCAGCTCGAGGTGGAGGGCCCTGATTCTGCAACTCGTTGCTGGTTCTGCGGCTGGGGCTGGCCATGAGCAGGGCAAAGTGTAACACTCACAAGCTACTCGAGCATTGCCCAGAGGCAGCATGTGGGGGATGACGGGCATCACAAATATAAGGTCTGCCTGGGGGCAAAG